AGAGTTTAATTCTTACTGATAGCATAAAATTGAATTCTTTTATATAATGGTAATTTTCTTGTATATTGAGAAGAAGATCCTGTTATATTTGGTTATACCTTATTAGAAAGAATACCCATTGCACTATCAGGTTGATTTAAGGAAGGTTCTGAGGCATTTGTGTAATAGATGAGTTGTACAAAGGAGATACAAATGGTGTAAACCCATAATAAGTTTTTGGAACTATATTAAAATCTGATGAACAGCACTAGAGAAGCATGCTTGACAAGTCCTAAGTAGAGAGATAGCACAAGCTTTCAACAGTATCTACTGGCAGTATTGTTCTGGACATGGTCATGGATTTGAACCGTTCATAGATATGAACATAGACTGTTCATGAACATAGAGAGACAATAAAGTATCCAATGTCCATGTCTATAGACCATCTGTCCATAAACATAAATATAGACTGTTCATGGACATAGAGAGACAATAGAGTGTCCAATATCTATATCTATAGACCATTTGTCTATAGACATGAACTGTATATACCTATATGTCTATGGATAGGTGTTCATGTTTATAGACAGGTATCTGGAACAACACTGCCTACTGGAATAGGCTTCACCTAAGGTTAAAGACTGGACAAAGCAAGAGTACTGGCAAGTTACTTTATCAACTAGACCACTAGGTTAACTGGAGAAAAAGACTAGTGTTCTTTCTAAGCTATCTGAATTGATAGTCTGAGGAGACCAACTAGAGAGTATTAAAAAAGGAAGGTACTAGGTTGTCTTGAAGGAAGAGTACTAAGATTTGAGTAAACTTTGTAAAGACTAGATAGTTAGATGGTGTGGTCTCCCTATAAAGGTTTAGAACCTATCTGGCTAATATATCTGTGGTAGAGATTAGTAGTATAACCTGCTCGTAAAGATATAGAACTTATCTAGTAATAACTATCTGAAAAAAACTAGATTATACATTAAAAAGTAGGTGACAGATGGCTCTAGCAGGTAATGCACTTGAGGATGTATTGGTTAATCATGCTAGTAGTCCTATAGATAGTTTGTGACGATCCTGAAACTTAGACTGACTAATGTATTGCATGTTCCAAGTAAGGTTAGATGGATTGACATAGAAAAATCAGATTAGAGGATTTAATAAAGTAGCTCAAATAATAATAGATTATAGATATGATATCTAGTATAAAACCTAGTAATAGATAGATATTTAATTAGATGTTCAGAAGACACAAATATGGTTAGAATATATTTTTGTCAGAATATATTTATCTGGAGTCTCCTTGAAAAAGGCATTATATGATTCTAATATCTAATAAAAAGCGACAAGCCAAAGAGGTTAACCTTAATTACAAAAAAAAATATCTATTACCAAATTCTATTATACCAGAACTTCTTACTATTTCAATAGTAGACTCAATTACTACTTTAATTTTTTATCCAAGTGAGTTGATAACTAAACTTGACAAGATATCTATCAATAACTTGAACTTTAATGTATTTAACTTCTATACTGATGAATCTGTTATTAATATTGATATTGAATATTGTATAATAAATATAGCCTGGATTCAAGTCAATAATAATAACCAAATTACTTCTCAATTTAATACTCAAATTAAGTTTTGAATATCCTCTTACAAAGTAGAGCTTCTGGCTATACTATTAGTGATTTCAACAACATTTTGTAATTTTATAATTAATATTTATATAGATTCTTAATTAATTATCTCTAAATATTATAAACTTACATCTCTTATCTTTAACCTAAATAAACTTTTTAAATTTAATATATGGCCACTATGATATACATTCCTTAATATTATAAAATCTTATCAATTATATATAACTTTTCACAAAGTTCAGGTCTATACAGACAATAATTTTAATAATTTAGCAAACACTCTAGTTAAACAACACATAATTGCTTCATACTTTAATTTTAATTATACTAATATTTATAATTCATATCATATTTTACAGTATAAAAATAAAAAATTCTTTGTTAAATAACCTATTTAACTCTTTATTAAAACTATTTGCAAAGCCCATATTTTAGCAATATAATCATTTCGATGATACAATAAAAAATGGTTTTAAGCTAATCACAAAATTGATTGGTGATCAACTTGATTATATTTTAATTACACTACAAATCTACTTATAATATTACAAACTTTAACTTAATTAACTCCAATCTTTTAAATTAAAACACTACTCAAAGAATTATCTACTCATTCTTTTACTATACTTTTTATTTTATCTTTCAGAGCATTAATTGCTTTTACTATAAAGCTTTAAATTTACCTTTATATTGGCTTAACTATTCTAATTCAACTCTACTTCTGTATATTATTAATATATATACTTCTAATTATATTTATTCAATTGAATTAGATTTATCACCAGACCAAAAAGTAAAACTTATTTATCAGATTCAACATTATAAGAGATTTAACTTTGTAGTAATACAGCCCTTCTTACATTATTTAAAACTTATACTTAAAGGTTTAATTTTTAATTCTATAGTTCAAATAGTTCAAAACTTTAATATATTTTATAAACAAGCATCTTATATCATTATTGAATTATTTCTTAAAATTAATGAATAAATATATGAACAACTTTGGAAGACCTACTATATTAACTTCTTTAATTAGAAAAATAGTAACAAATAATATATTTTTACTTTAAATCTAAAGAGATACTACTAACTACTTATAGAAATAATTGCTTTTATACAAACTATATTTGCTCTTATCTATATAGCATAGCAGATTACTACACATCTATTCAGATATCTGTTCTCTCATAATATCTGATATAAATACTAGATCAAATATAGTTTTATTTTAAATTTTATTTTAATTTTAAGAATCTAGATGAGTTTTTGACTATTTTAGTGGGTTTAGGTTGCAGATAAATATATTTGAGTTTTTATTCTTTATATAATTTTTATTTTTTACTCATACTTGTATAAATAGTAGTATTTCTATATAACTTTTATGTAGTTATTATTTTTAAAATTACTAATAAAGATATAAGCAAAGCCTTATCTCAATACTAAAAAAAAAATTTTTCTAATAGAAATATAGTTTAACTAAAAATCTATTAATTTGGCAGAGAATTTTTTGATTTAACTTATTTTAAAAAAGTTATTACAATTTAAAGTTTTTATATAGTATATATAAAATAGATGTTTTATGCTGTTTGGTACTGTATAAATACCAACTTATATTGCATTTTAACTTTATCTAACTCTAACTAAACAAAAAAATCTTGTTTTATTTTAGTTATTATAAGACAATTTATAATTTATATATAGATACAATATATAAACATTTTATAGCATATAACATATGAGTGCCATCAAGGGAAAACCCAAATTCTGGTTTTCAATTATATTTTGTGTTCAGTTTATTTTCTGAGTGCTATCTAATAAAAATCTATCATCAGATTTCAATTAAATTTTGTGATAAGTCATTACAAATATAATCAAAAGTCTGAAGATAGATTTACCCTAGACGACACTTAGAAAATAAAATAAACACAAAATATAATTGAAAGCCAGAATTTGGGGTTTCCCTTGACGATACTCATATGCATTTATTTATAATTGAAAATTATTTTGAAAAGTAAATTTTGGTTGGTTAAAAAGTTTTTTTTGAATAATATCAAAATAAAATAGAATAAAATAGAATAAATAAAACAATTAATGTTAGTATAATAAAATTTCCAATTTGGTAGTGAAAGTATTCTCTGTCTTTGTTATAATTTTGACAAAAATCCTAACAAATAAAAATCCTGACATTTAGAATTTTTAGGTAGAAAATTTTAAGTATTTAATATGTTTAAAGCAAAATAGACTTATATTTAGAGTTAGAAAGAGTCATAATATATAGTAAAATTATGCAAGAAATTTTTTTGTTAAGACACAGAAGTTGGTTTCATAGGCATAATTTTGGATTTGAAATTTTTGAGGTTTTTGAATCGTGCAATCTGATTTGCTGGGTCTGTCACCGCCGGCGACAAATAGATTCGCCTTTAAAATTGAATTATATAAAATAAAAAATATATATTATATAAAAATTAAAACGGTTATATATTATACAACTATGTTTAAAGTATACAGTATACATTATATATATATAAATATATACACCATATTTTATAACCTAATTGGTTGATATTATAATAATTACCGTACGTACGTACGTAACAATCAATTCTGCTACGTAGTAACAATGAATTCGATTTATTAATAATATTATACGTATGTGGGTACTTATCTAAATAAGACCTAGTACGTACGTATGAATATATATCAGATATCAGATAGATACGTACGTAGTTTTAAATTTTGATTAGAAGTTACTACATATATATATGTGTATATATATATATATGTATATATATATATATGTGTATATATATATATATGTGTGTATATATATATATGTGTATATATATGTATAGGTATAGTACGTACAGTTTATACATACATGTTATGCATAACGACATGTTAGAAATTTTCTTTTTAAAAGAATTTAATAGAATCCAAAAGACAAATTTATACAGATTTTCGGTGAATCTCGTTTTACCATCTGCTTAACCAATTTATTATAACCAATTAAAATAAACCAAGAATTATTAAAAATAGATAACAAATATACAATCAAGTGTCAATCAGGTACATACAAACCAGAAACGTATATTGAACTTGGAGATCAAAATATAAGTTTTTATTGTTTATTATTATCGAGATTAATACTATATACGTAAAAAGTTTATGTAGTAAAATTTTATTATATCGTTATGCATTTATTAAATTAAATTCATAAGCGAAGAAAATTATATAAACATTATTAATAATTATGTATTAAAAAACGATTAAATTAACTTTGGCAAAACAATATTACTTTATATATATTTAGGAAAGTACATACATTACGACAATATATAAAGTTAAATATAAAGTTAAATATAAAGTTAAATTAGAATATTATGTTAGATCAAGTGATTCAAATTCAAATATTGCGTCGACGACAAAGTAAGTGTCAGCCTAAATTGCCTTATGTAGTTGCACCCCTAAACATAATTAACGCGCATTCGGTTATTGACACATATGTACGATAGTTGACATTAACTGCATATAGATAATACTAGATTATTTGTTCTTGCAGTTAATGTTGCAGTTACATGCGCCATTGTTTACTAATTAACCACGGATGTTACTTGGATGTTACTAGGATGTTACTAGGATGTTACTAGGATGTTACTATGCAACACAAAAAAAATAAAAATTGGGAGACTTGATAAATAGAAAGAGAAGAAGGAGTTGAAATTCAAAATTTTATTTTTTTTTTTATTTTTTTTATTTATTTTTTTTTTCATTAAAAAAAAATATCACGAATTGGTCATATAGATCAATTTTTTAAAAACAAAAAATGCCTGAAATAACTGCAAATGAAACATCTGGAAATAAAAACTGGTGCGTAAACGAAAGATGAATTGTTGGTGCATAGCAAGCACGTGATTGTGTATTAACTTAAACATTTTTTTTAACATTTTTTTCAAGGCCATCATGTTGTCCTATCGTTCGTCACGATATTCGAAATGATATTATCGAGAAAAGAGCACGCCAAATGCTTGAAAGTTCTTATAAAGTATATTTAGGTACGCGTTAAATATATTTATTCAAACAATTTTAACTTAATACTAATAATTACATTTATCATTTATAACATGTATATACTAGTTTATTACTTTACTTTACTTTTCAATCTTGGTGCAGTCATTGCAATTGCCATAATTCGCCAGATTCCAGTAGGGTTCGTTCAAATCATAATCGCCTCGTTATATCTAGTGATATGGCCAATTGTAGATTTTACTTTTAGGCATATGAGTTTATACCATGGATTCAAGTAAGTCAAAAAAGTCATTTATTTCATAACATTCATAATATTAAACTCTAATACTTTTTTTTTTTTAGAGACGAAAATAAAAAAGCATTTCATCACTTCTTTTTTGCTACGCTAATCGATGTCCTATTTGGGATATTCATATGCGTAGGTTGTTTTTATGGCGGTGGTGGTGGTCTTTATGCAGCGATCGATAGTTTTCTAAATGCTCAAGTGGCCGTTGTATATGTGGCTGCTGTATTGTCGACTGTTAACACGGCAATAACACTTGGACATCTTTTCTTACTTTTTAAATTATGCCGAGAGGTATTTTTTTTTTTCAAAGTTGTTTTAATGCTTGTATTCATATATTCATTATATACATATAATTGGTGTTTATGAATATGTGAATGTAAACATTAGCACTAATTCTGTAATTAATAATTTAAACAAGATTGTAATAAAATGGTCTTTTCTCAAAATAGGTTCGAATATTTTACATGACAAGATGTAAAGACGATAAACCAGTCCGAGAAGTTGACGAATATTAAAAACCTGTTTGGTCTAACAGCATTACTTGTTTAATTCTTACTGTTTTAATTTTTTTTTTTTTTTTTTGTATTTTTAGAAGTTCATTCTGTATAATTATCTACTAATCTATATATATATACATATAATTTTATTATAAATACGTACTAGTTTATACTTGTCATTCTGTCTATTATGTCTATTATGTCTATTATGTCTATTATGTTCGAAAAAAAACTGTTTTTAATAACTTTTAACATGAATTCTAATTTATTAAAATTTTCAATTAACGGTAAGTACATACGTACGTATCGGTACGTATGTACCATCTAAAATATATGATGTTTGTAACTAATTTTGTTTGAACTGAAATTGTAATACATATTGAGTATAAAGAATTCCCGTTTTTTTTTGTTTAAAAATCCGCATAATAATTTGTGCTAATTTGACCTACATCGATTACAGACCATGTGATAGCAATTTTCCGGGTAAAATATCTTTAACCCTCATCATTAGCATAGTGATAGTATTAGCATATCATTCTATATAGCTTATTTTTAGCATATAATATCGAATATCGATATCTGATATAGCATATCTACGTAGTATCATTACGTAGAATCATTACGTAGAATATAAGTTAATATCGATATAACATATCTACGTAGTATATCATATTAGCATATCATTAGCGTTGATGTATGTATATATTAATTAGTACTTCGTTATGACTAATTGCTGCAGTCGATCTAAAAATAAGCATGTGAATCTAACTGGTCACATACTCAAATACTCTGCATATCGATATCATCTTATATATGTTTGTATGTTAGTCATGTCCTCTTTTTAAACCTCTGAATTCTCTGAAATTCTCTGAAATTCTCTGAAATTCTCTGAATTATTAAAACTCCCAATACTTTCCTTTAACTTTCCTTTAAATCTTCTATTCTCTTACTCTCTTTTAATCTTTATTTCAAATGGAAGTCATAGATTACCGTGTTTCTCGAATTGTGGTCCTTTGCAAAGATTGTGGCCATGACGTTGGTCTCTATCCTGCTCGTCACAAATGTGAGTTGCCTCAATCCGATTCCTTCTCGAATCCTGTTCCCTCTATTCCCAAACAACACCTTTCTCTTAAAAATAAAAATGATACTAATGCTGCTGGGTTGTGGGGTAAACTTAGATCTGTAAATAATTGGAAAAACGTATCTGAAGGTAAATTTATTCTTTCAATTTTCTCTTTTCTTTTTAAATTTATTTATTTAACTTATCTCTATATTTTATCCGTGTATTTTTTTTAGACGATAATGTTACTCCTTCTATATCACAACCTTCTCAAGGTTCTAAACTATGGGATAAATTATTGAGTGCCGCTGCTGCTTATAATTCTAATCATGATGAAGATTCTGAATATGGTATGTACCTTTAAATCTTTTTTTTTCAATTATTGAAAATTTTGAATTCTTATATTTGTTGCTAATGCTACTAGAATCTGAGAAGGATGAATGGGAAGGTGAAACTCACATTTCTCGTATATTACGTGAATATCATCATCAAAAATCTGGTGATATCCCTGATTGGTTATTTGATTCTAATGTTATCGTCAATTCGGATGATGATAATAACAGGGGTAGGAAACTAGGGATACCAATTGTAGTTGACAGGAATCGTGACCATAGTCCATCTGATAGACTTGCTGTCCGTAATGATCAAAGAAAATATTCCCCTTCATCTTTACCGAACAATTTTGATTCTGATATGTTTAATGATAAGACTAGCAATACTCTTCAACTTCCAGGTTATCAAAGAGTAGGTGGTGATAGGTCTTATCAAAATACTAATAGGGCAAGAAGTGCTAGTCCAAATTATAATTTTTTATCTTCATCTCGTGATGCTTCATCTCGTGATGCTTCATCTCGTGATGTTTCATCTCGTGATGTTTCATCTCGTGATGTTTCATCTCGTGATGTTTCATCTCGTGATGTTTCATCTCGTGATGGTGATTCTCAATATAGTCAACGATCAGGAAATTATAGACAAGGTGGTTTCTTTTAATTTTCATAATAATTTCATTCTTTTTAAATTCGTAACTAGATCTGTTAGACTAGATACCATAAATTTAGAATATAATTTAATCTTAATTAATTAATTTAAAAGTTTTTTTTTTAAAAAAACGAAAAAAAATAAATACATAATACTCCCGATCACAATATCAAGATCATGTGATTATTGTTATATCGTAAAAAAATTCTTTATAATGTATATGAAAAAATGGGACTTCAGGTTTTCAGTTTATTATTTATTATTTATCATTTACATACGTAATTAAATTAGTGCTGCTGAATCTGGTAAATAGTAAATAATAAATAATAATAAATAATAAACTTGAAAGCCCAAGTCTCATTTTCCTTTGGTGACACTCTTTACCTTTCAGTAAAATTTCCTAAATTATTTTATGCCAATTTATATAAAATTATTAGACGTCATTTACTTGAACACCGATAAATGATCGTCATTTCCGATTTTCTAAACCGATATACCCCGGTTTGATTTTCGGCCATTCGGAAATCTGAGTTTCATAATTCAGTAATTTTGCAAATCGCAAAAATATATATATGTTATGCCTCAGATTAACGCTTGCGTGAGATTGCAGCTGACGCACCTCAGATGTGATTGTTTGACCAGCATTAACTGATCGACAATAATTAGCCTAAATTATACCTTCACCCTCACCCTAACTCTAACGTTAATTTAGGCCGGTTTTAATCTCACGCAAGCGTTAATCTGAGGCACGACATATATATAATATATATATATTATATATATATATATGATATTTGCGTCTTTCGTCTCAATATTATTTTAGGTTTTTGATTATAAATTTATGCGTACGGTTAATTATCGTACGCACGTACGTTATGCATACCTTTATTGTTAGATAACAATTCTTACTAATTTGGTTTATTTATTCGCCCCCCCTATATCGGGTTAAACAATTCTCATACGTATTCTCATAGTAGGCGAATATACATACTTTAATTGGTCAAGAATCCTTTGAAAATTCTCATAATGATTGTGCAAAGATACTTTAATGGATCAAAGAATAATTTAAAGAATTCTCATAATGGGTCAAAGAATAATTTAAAAATTCTCACAACCTTGTAACGATTGCAAAGATACTTTAATGGGTCAAAGAATAATTTAAAAAATTCTCATAACCTTGTAACGATTGCAAAGATACTTTAATGGGTCAAGATTGATTTAAAAATTTCTCATAACCTTACAACGATTGTGCAAAGTTACTTTAATGGGTCAAGAATGATTTAAAAATTTCTCATCGTACGAGAATATACTTTATTAGGTCGAGAAATTTCTTACACCTACGTACGTGTAATTGATTACGAAAATAGCCTTTGAACTTTTTTAAATTCTATTATCATTATTAATGTGCAAAGATATTTTTAAATGACATGGATTTTTTCAAATGGTTATATGTAGTATATATGTAGTATATATGTAGTATATGTAGTAAAAAAAAAACTATATACTGGTACTATGTAGTAAAAAAAAACTATATACTGGTACTGCAATCTTTGAACTATTACCACGCAATGCAAAGCACCCCCTTATTTATACTCCCTTAGTTTATACATATCGTTAAAAATTTTGATTGGCTAAAATTGAAAGGTTAATTAGATTGTCGCGAATTCAATAAATATTTTAACTGTTATTATACAGTATACTCGGTGCAGTATTTTAATGTACATTCATTTTAACTGTTCTGAGCCTTTTTGGCATTTTTTGTTATTTTTTCATTCTTATACTCAAAAAAAAACTATATTAAAAAAAAAGAATACGTACGTACGTATATGTACTGTAAATTAACAATTTACCCATTTTATTTTTTCAATTTCGTTAAGACAACTTTAATTCAAATCTTTAAAGAAAAAAAATTTTGTTTCAAATTTGTCTCAACTTTGTTTCAACTACTAAATATCTTTCATTTGCAATACTACACGAAAACTATAAATCAGATTTTAATTATATATAGTATATATTATCAATATGTATACGTATACGTAATATCAGATATATTCTATTTACAGTATATAGTTTATTAAGTTCTTAAATTTAAATTAAATTTTTTTCTAAATATACATTATATAGTGTAGATATAGTTAACCAACTTCTCTAAATGCAATTGTATTAATAAAATTTTGCAATATACAGTAGCTTTTTAAATTTTGCAATTTTTTATAATTTATTATAAAATTTATAATTAATTTTTTGTTTTTTTTTTTTTTTGCAAAACTTGGCTTATTTGTTTTTTTTTTTTTTTAATGTTAAGGTGACCACTTAGGGGTCTGGCACATTTTATTAACTTTATGATTCAAATACCAGGGTAACTACTATACTATATAAGCATTTCAACTTTGTTATATTAATGAAAGTATTACTATTCTAATTAACTTAGTTAAAACTTTAAAGTGAACACACACTATCATATTGAAGGTCCTTTATCCTCATAGTAAATCTACTAAAACAGTTCATATTCCACATATATATCACCTAAATTTTCAGTAACTTATGCCTAGGCTGTGGCCAAGTATTTGTGACATTTTACTTCCACTACTATCACTTACTCCTTGCTTTTGCAAAGTTCACTCAAACTCCAGCACATATTTTACAGACTATCAACAGTATTTTGATGTCAATCATCAGTTTTTCAAACTTCTAATCCAAATAGTTCAGGATGGATCAGTGAACATCTCCTGGTATTCTAAATAAATCTTTTTTCCTCTGGTTATCTAATGGTTTGGTTGGTGTAATACTTTTGCCAACATCGGGAAATTTTATAAGGGGGATATATATCGATTATTAACCAGGAGGATATATATCGATGCCAATCACCCCTGCGGAGTTCTATCGATTATGATTATAATCGATATATAGCCAAAATGGTTAGTAATCAATATATATCTAATATAATAAAAATTGTATTTATTAATATATATACACATACGTATTAAAATGACAAAATAATAAAAAATTTTTATTTTAATTAAAAAACTTTTACTTTATTAAAATAAAAAAAATTGTACATATTTTAATCTACATGACCTCTTACAATACAATTACTACAAATACGCTAATTCAACACTACAAACAAATTACTAGAAACTAGCACGTTTGCACATGTCACAATTTTTTTTATGGTTCTAGATTATCATTCCCGGTTCCAATTCGCAATTACTGCAAAAAAAAAAAGTTAGTAAAAAAAAAAGAAAACAAAAATAACAAGAAAAACTAAATTGGTACTTATCTTTTGTACTAGTTCCGAATTCAAGATCTCCATTCCGGCTTCTTATACTATTCCCGGTACCAACCTAAAAAAAAAAAACGTTAGTAAAAGAACAAAAAAAAAGAGGCAAGACGAAAAACAAAGCTGGTACTTATCTTCTGTACCAGTTCCGGGTTCAAGATCTCCATTCCCAGCTTCTTATACTATTCCCAGTACCAACCTAAAAAACAAACAAACGTTAGTAAAAGAACAAAAAAAAAAAAAGAGGCAAGACGAAAAACAAAGCTGGTACTTAACTTCTGTACCAGTTCCGGGTTCAAGATCTCCATTC